GCAGGGTGGTGCAAGTTAGTATTGAATATCTCCACCTCGATTTTGAGAAACCACGAGTTTTTCCGCCCAATAACTTATATACCATTAGAAAGCTCACGAAATAAGGATTCGATGGAGACCGTCTCTTTTTCTCTAGCTCCCCTCTACTCAGAGATACATGGCATTTTAGCTAAAAACATTGTGTTTTTGTCAAGGAATTCCTGCGTGAAGAATGAATGAAGGTGCCTGATTTTCTAACAGTAGCACAGAGCAAGACCTTGCCAGTAAACGTAGACCGTCTCTTTTTTTCTAGCTCTCCTCTTTCTCTCAGAAATGGAGCGCCAAGTGATTGCATAAAATCAGTTGATGCTCAAGCTAGGTATGACTTCTTATATGTGTATTCACAGGAGAGCTGGAAAAAAAGAGACGGTCTACGTCGATTCTATATGTCTCGAGCTTTCGAATGGTATGTTGACTGATGAAACACAAAGCTTTCTCGAGTCAAAAAAGTTTCTGTTAGATAACCTTCGAAGGCCTAAGCGTTGAGAAAATCTTCATTGTACACCTATATGTCGCTTATTTTCCTTCTTCCCACTCCCGCTACCGTTAGGCATGCAAGCATGCGTCAAAATTCATCTTAAGACTCAGCTACCCCCTTCACTTTTCTAGGTCGGAAATAGCCAAAACCCCCTTCACCTGGAGAGGACCCTGCTCCCCCTATCGCACCTATGCTGTAGAAGGCAAGAGCACAGTCTGGTGAATCTCCTTTTCTCAGAAAAAAAATGCTGATACAACTTTCAATGAGATTGAAAAAAAAACACTGCACATTGATTCAGGCGTCGAGTGTTAGGTGTCACGTTGCTCAGGGCGTTATTGGACAAAAAGATGTTTCGAGACGTCACGCAATGGAGACTGCTTGGGGCTCCCATTACTTGTGTGTGTCAGCTACTTTACAGTAACTCGCGCGGAAGGCAACAGGAGGGTGAAGTTCGTTTTTTTGTATGTTAGTCCCTTTTCCCTTACTTGCGCTATTGTCTTGTCATGATTGTTACCTATGACTGGACTGACGGTTTTCTTCCTGAAGAAAATTGCAGAATTTCAGAGGAGTTGCTTCTCAAAGTTCAGAATATAGTAAACATAAATACATCTTATTTGGGTGTCGTAACTGTCGAAATTCGCCGTAAGCCTTTTTCGACCTTTGCAGATTGTGCTCAAACTTATGGTAAAGGTAAGTGTGTAGTGTGTGAAGACTTAAATATATAGTGGAATATTATGAGTTCCGGCTGACAGAACTTCTCTGCGTGCTGGTTACTGTAAGCCTGTCGTCGTGCGTAATTGACACTCACAAATAGTGGAATACACCCAAATGTCTTGCATTCTGCACCTACAAGCAAGAAACACGAACGCCAACCTCCCACTCATCGGTCTGCAGGAAAGGAAGTAAAGGAAGGACGTGCGACAGATGAGTGATGGGACCCTCATCATTCGCGGTAAGGAAATGTTTTTACAAAAAGTTGAAGGCGTTGGCCCTGGATGTCCGCTGGTCCTTGTCCATGATCGTCAATTCGTGTGTGATCCTATCACCTCAACTCACTCTGCGTCTCTGTTTTCTAAAACAGAAGACCACCAACAGTATCAATGCTAATCTTCAACATCAGCGTGAAAACGAGTTGGAGCGGCTGATCTCTATATACAAAGAGAAACTTCTATTAGGTTGGTGCAAAAATAATTGCCGATTTTCCAAGCCTTTTTTCATTGCAACTTTTTTCCATCAATACTTCTTCTTTAAAATATACGTAGTGTAGAGGCTGTTTTCATGCTTTATCTAATGGAGTTTGCAACGGGCTTCCATCATCATCTGTTATAAAGTTACTGAGCTTCAAATAACCGCATCCAAATTCAGAATTTCATTGCACTTTTCTGGCCAGAATTCAAGCGCGTATCAACGACACTTCTTCGAAAATTCAGCTATTATATGTAATAGAAAATGTCTACATTACGCATACTTAACTTATTCTATATTCTTTGAGGGTACCCAGACTGAGATACCGGCGCCTAAATATGGGTAGCTGTTGCGGTAACTTTATGACCCATAATCTTCTGAAAAAGTCATTCGCCAGAGCTTTGCTCAATTCGGTAAGCGTAGAGCTAGGCCATCCTATTAGCAGTTTTTGCAAAAACATCCAGCTGTTCAGTAATTAGAAATCAGAAAATTCTATAATCGGGACTCTGAAACACACTGAAAAAATGTTGAAAAAAGTGAGAAATTTTAAATTTTAATTTTTTTCTTTCTCGCAAACCTTTTGTCCGAATTCTTTTTATTGTTTTTTGTACTACTGGCTTGCGGCTACAAGATAGGCTACTCATCATTCACACTTACAAACTTTGAAGGAAGTTATGAATTTTCAAAGACAAGGTTCTAGCAAAGGAACCTTTTTTGTCTTTTAGCCCGTACTTCTCTTCCTGTTCACGATGTGAGTATAAATGAGTATGTGCTGTATTGCGAAAGCTTTGCTGCTTCAGATGGTTTTTACCGCATTCAGAAATGTGGATCTTTTAGAAAGTTATAGCACGTCAAAGTGATGATTCGCAAATCGGCCATTACTTTTGCACCGACCTAATATATACAATGGATCCTTGGGAACGAGAATCTGTCCCGGTTTGTCGTGGGCAACTTTGACCTCATAATCGGGTTAAAACAACAATTATAAAATCGGATTTGGAGTTGGACTCTAAAACGAAAACGGCTGCGCCTCGTTGGTCTCCTCCGCACACATTTTCAAACTTTGCATTTTCTAGAGAACGAACATGCTGACAAACATTATCTGTTATATTTGCTTCGATTTCTGGAGACACACATTCTGTATCAGCCACTTGTGTTGTTAGCTCACAAGGATGCGCCACCGCACCGCAGGCAAGAAATGGTACTCGGTCCGAGAAGAAGCTTTACTCAAACACCGCAATCGATGACTCTTTTCCGTTTTGCCCCCTTCGCGCCATTTTGCTGGTTTTCTTTATCTGTGCCTCTACTTTCATGTGCAGCTCGGATTAAGTGTTGTTAGAAGAAACGAGACGACCAGTAGATGCAATGTAGAGTGCGATCCTACATTATGCCATGGGAATTACAAATGATCAAGACTCACGTCACCGTTCAGAACTCGTAGAGCTTCTAAAATGATCAAAAATAAAAACTGAAATAGCGTCACTTATGCAATCAAAGAGATGAAACACCTATTAGACAACAGATAACAATCAGATAACCTCATCTTCAGCAAGCATCCATGAAAAGGCGACGGCAAAGAAAACTTCGAAAAGAAGAGAGCAATAATTTGATACCGTTCAAGTTTCTTCATAAGCCAACTTCAGCGCTCAAACATCACTTTCTTTGCTTGCCCCAAGCGCGCTCTCGTGAGCCGATGCTGGTTATTAAGCCTATATAAACGCTGTGCAGCTAAAAGCGGATTAAAATTGCTCAGCTAAATAGTAAACAATGTTAGTTAACAAGATAGTTTTGGGAATTTTGTCTTTATACATGTAGGTCAATCATGAAATCGTGGCAACGGATTCGACTGCGGTCTTTGTGCCTACAGGAGCAGAACACACTTATAAAGAAAGGCATCAATCTTCAGCTCAGTTATCCAATGTTTGAATACCACCATAAGTATGCAAAATACTATTCAAGTAGAGATGAAAAACCAAGAAAGTCGTGCAGTCGTCGGGACAATTAATGAGCAAACTTCAACGTTCATCAGAATTCAGTTTTCATTCCTGCCGTTTCGAACCAGACTTTTAGGTTTGAGTACGGATGAGGTTGCCTCGTGCAATACAACCGTACTTGGATCTTGCTTCAGGCGGTTAGATTAAAATTGCACATAGCGCCGAAAACAGGCCCGCAGAAAGTATGAGCATCGATCACTTCGGTGGTCTAAAAGTTGTTGCCGGTAGAAGACAAGCCGCTTTAGAAGAGCAGGATGTCTCAAATTTACCATCATCATTCTTTCTGTAAGTGGCTGATAGAACGGTTACCAGCGATCAATGAAACGTACTAGTTGATTTTCATCTAAACCCAAAAAAATTTCAACGCTTCATTTTTGTGGGGAGGAGAAGGTCTGTAAATGGCGCTAAGTTTATACAAAAATTCTCAGATTCGAATAGTAGCGATAGCTACTGGGCTTCCGTTTATCTATAGCAAACCCAAGAGCGTTAAAAACTTATTTTTTGATCCAACTGAATTGGTGGCTAAAAGGCGGGGCTTCGTGACTCAGTTAAGGTTAAAGAATCAGAGAGCATGAAAGAAACGCAAACTGCGTCGCGGGTTCGAGTGGTCGCCTTCCAGCCGCCAACTTCGTTCAATCAAAGGGTATGCGTAAACTAGTGAATGATTTGTATAGTACGCTGATCACATAAAGCGGCATTTAGGAGTCAATCCTGCTGTAAATGCGGACATTTACAGTCCAGAAGATTGTTTAGTGCGAACAAGTGTCAGTGTGTCGTTATTCAAAACTGCATGGAATTTCGTACGTTTAGCAATGTGAACTTTTAGCAAACTCTATGCAACTGCCATTAATGTTTCATAGGGCCAACGGAACCTCCGCCAAGCAGAATGAAAAGAAAAAATCTCAAACTACTACAGGGGCCTGCATGATCGCGAAAGTCGGACGGCGTGCGGCCATCGCTCCGCGCACGTCTGATGTCCGTCCCACGACTCAGGTAAGTGCCAGATTTATCCTGTTCAACAAGTTCATTCGGTTCACCCCCCCCCCCCCCGGACAAACTGGTTAGACAGGATAAGTCTGGCGCCTGCCTCAGTGACATTGGACGTACGCGGCGCAATGGCCGTACGCACATCCGACTCTCGCGATCATGCAGGCCCCTATACAGCAGCAAATTGAGTTCACTTAAGCATTCTGATCGACCAGTCACAAGTATTTACAGCTGACGAGGAAGTTGTTGGTTTAGTGATACTGGATAATGAAAGCTATAAAAGAAGGGAAGAGAATGGTATGTACTTTTATACTTCTAATCACACCATGATCACCTCGGTTGAGATGGACGTTGTTCAACAGGACGCCAAGAAGGCGCAACCACCAGTTGAGGAGAAGACGCCACAAGAGAAAGAAGAAGAGAAGGTGTTGAAGTGTCGCTAGTTGTGCGCATATTCCAAATGAGTGTTTTCAGGCATTGCGTGAATTCCCCTTCTACCATGGTTTTCTTCCGCGAGAGGATTTGCTTTTTTTGCTGAAGAATGAAGGAGATTACCTCCTGCGTATCAGTGAAGTCGGCGGTGGGGACAAGACGGTGTGCATAGTTTGGGGACTTGAGGAGAACAAATGAGTTAGAGTTCTCAGCTGGATGCCGATTTGGCGGTGAGCAAAAGAGCGATCATTCTATCCATCTTAACAGAACTATTGCCTGGAGACACCGTTGCGTCTATGATACCAGCAAATGTTCAGCTGAAGGTGAGTAAAAGAGTAATTATTAAGCGCCCAGTATGAACTTTGCTGCACTCAAACGGAGAGCTCCGACACAGGGGCAAATATAACAAACGGATTGTTTGATTCTTCGATTTCTTCTGAAACGAAGTCGACATCATTGCCAATCGTTTTTGAAAGATGTCCAGAGATTTAGGAATATAACATTAGTATCCATAATGTCCAAAGAGAGCGACCTATTTGCTGTGGTCCAACATAGGAAATGAACATCACTGTCTGCTGTGCTTCATTTTAAAATTTGATGCCTGAGCGCTAGTTGAAATTGTATATCTACCAGTGCTTCACCTCTGCTTCGCAGAGGTTCGCACTGGCCGTTATGAACCGTGGTAAACTCACTTTCTGAGAGCTTGTCTCTCAAGTCATGTTCGTTGACTGCAAGTGAGAGCCGTAATTAAAAATGAACCATACCACTATCTTAATCTCACATGCTGTTTGGTATTGTAAATCATTCCTCACTGTAATTTCGTAACGGACAAACTCCACACAACTTCAGATTAAGCCGCTTATTATAAGTCATGATACTCAGGCACTTGAATGTCTGCCTTCACATGGCGCACAAGCCGTAGCACAATAGTTTGCATTCTTTTCTTTCTCGCGCGACAATCGCTCGATGCTCCAAATCGTTTTCTGGTTGGTGGCTTCCTTCAGAGTTTCAAAAGAGGTATATATTTTCTCCCCTGTCAAGTTCTTCCCTCAAATTGTTCCTCATCTTCATCAGTCATCCTCCATACATAGGCTGCTGTATGGCGAAGGCGCAGTTGCAACATTAGTTGAGCGGGGGCGAACGCGGCGCGTCTATCCTCACCGTTGTAAATCCTGCGCCTCATGCGCTCTGCGGCTAATAAAGCTGCGTGAGGGCCCAAAGATATTGCGCCTTCGTCATGCAGCAGCTTAGAAGACATGGAAGGAAACTTCCCCGTAATTGAGGTGTCTTCCAAACCGTTTGCATATCTTTATAAGAGGTACTTATTATTGACCAGATTACATATTATATATATCTTGAAAATGATAAAAATACATTAGAAGCTCCACCAGTTATTTGAAGAAGGTTGTTTTGAAATTAACTGACGAAGGCTGGTTGGAATAGTAGCTTAGATTGCCCAAAGTTGTTTAGGAGGCTCGGTAATTGGCTCAAAAGCAGTCAATAATCTAGCGAAATTTATGCAAATTTTAAGCTTCCAACCTTTCATAACCTTAAGAGGGCAATTTGCATAAAGCTTCCAAAAAAATTTGTTCTTTGAATGTCCTTAGAAGCAACACGGCCGAGCTGTGCTGTTCTACCTTCGCTTTGGCCGTAGAGTCAGTTATATCAAAAAGGAGGGCATCGCCTAAACGGACTTTTTGAAATGCAAATGAGAAACCAACAGGTCACCCACCGGCCAGGCGCTCCGTTAGCCACTTCTTGCGCAAGTTCCCAGGAGAGACCTCATCGAAGGAGAGTGGGCATTGTGCAAAATTTCCGATGGATCATAGGCGCAAACGCATTTTGAATGTACAGAGCATGGATTTTAGTGACTTATAAAAATTATGCGTCCGTGACCTGCGATTCTTAGATTCTATAGCATTCTATAGCTTTTAAATTTGTTCTGAAGACGGATTTCCACTGGCACGTAGGTAATTTTCGCAAACTTTTATTTTCCGTTTATGCAAGAACAGCTCCTAGCACAAAACTACGATTCAATAGCGCAAAGCCTCTTCTATGTTGTGTGCATCGAAATTTTGTAAAATACTAACAGCATCTCTAGTTACAGCAAAAATTGTAAATGCCAAAAATTCTGGTTTTTCGCTTTGCAAAAGTACTAGTTTGGTAATTTCCATTCTTACAAAAATATATGGCAGCCATTTCCAGCCAAATAAAGTGTATTCTGTAGAGGATGACTGCAGCATCATGTGGCATAAAAATGAAATCAAAACCATCAGTATCTTTGTAATTGCAGTACTGCAAAGTTAGACTCCCAGACTTTTGCCGCACCCTGTATTCTTAAGCGTGAAGCGCTCACTGAATTTGCATATTACCTATCGCATCAATATTCTGCCGGATCCCATGAACTAGGAACGGGTTAGTTGAGTTGCTGTTAAAAACCTGATTTGTCGATGTTTTGTCTCGCACACAGTCAGCATAAGTGTTGAAATGCTTATTCTTTTCTTAAAAGTTCTTTCAGTTGAAAAACGTGATCATCCGAAAACATAATGCTAAATACTATGTAGAGACAAGCAAGTTATTTGACTCATTGAAGGAACTCGTAACTCATTATCAGAAAAATTTTGGATACTTGAATAAGGTAAGATAGTAAAGCAATGAATATCTTGACTTAGCTCAAACTTCAGGCTAAGTTTTTATTGAAAACCCCAATCACGCAGCAGCGGTGGGAGTTTATGCACAGTGAGGTACAAGTCGGTAAGCTTATAGGAGAAGGTGCTTACGGAGAAGTAAGAGAGGGAGTCATAAAGAAACGAAACCAGGCACTTGAAGTAGCAGTCAAATTGGTTTGTATGAGTCTGTTAACTTCGTTCCTTCTGCGCTTAGCCGGTTTTTAGACAAAAGGAACTGGAGAAATGAGTAAGGCAAAGATAAAAGAAATGATGAGGGAAGCTCGACTGATTAGAAATTTCAAACATAAAAATATCGTGCGATTGTATGGAGTTGCAGTAGATGAACAGCCGTTATATATATTGTTAGAGCTTGTCAAAGGTAGGTCGCGCAGTTTGCTGTATCGTCGATTCGTTGACCGCACAGACTGCTCAAACGCTGTGAAACATGCGCGGCGCGGCTAAATTGTCGCGAGAGCACGACTTGTACAATGGCGCATTTGTACTGAAGCGTTTTACCTCGCGGCGCTTGCTTTGCAGTGATGTCCAGTCCGTGCGGTCAACGAATCAACTATACATACCTCCCTCCCATACAGATTTTGCCTCGATTAGTTTGACAAGTAGCACTGAGTCTTTCCTCTAAGGTGGTGCATTAAATGTCTATCTTCGCGTCAATGCCGATAAAGTAAAGACCCAAGAACGAATGTCTATGTGCCGTGACGCCGCACACGGTGTTGAATATCTGCACAAGCAAAGCTGTATACACATGGATTTAGCTGCACGAAATTGTCTTTATTCGGAGGATAAAGTGGTTGGTTGCTAGCAACATTTCAATGCGAATGATATTTTCGATTAAAGGTTAAAATTAGTGATTTTGGTTTATCGCACGTTGGATCTACTTACACAATAAGGTCAGCTAGAAAATTACCCATAAAGTGGTTGGCACCAGAAACCATAACCACGTTCACGTTTTCCCTAAAAACGGACGTCTTTACGTTTGGCGTAATGATATATGAGATTTTTACTAGTGGATGTGAGCCCTGGGAAAGTTCTTCTAATGCGGAAGTAAAAAGAGGGGTTCGTGCACTTGTCTTATTCAACTTGTTGCGAGTTCTCAGAAAACCCAGTAGTTTCAGCTAGTCGAAGGAAAGTTTCTTAAAATGCCGGATATCTGCCCCGAATCCTTTCGAACATTTATACATGGTCGCATATTTGTGAAAGATCCTAACAACAGAGCAACTATGAGCGAGGTACGTATGTTGGTTCGCTTGTCAAACGAGTATGATTATGGGTTGAAAGCAGGGTCAAGCGTGTTGATGCGATCCGGGACCCTCATTTACGACCCCTCCCCTTGAACGTACCCATACGTACGACCCCCCCCCCCTTCTCCGCTCTCCCCACCCTCCCCCATTTATCCCCCTTACCTCCCCTGCCCACATTCCTCGCGGTAACCTGCATAAAGAATGTCAATCTCAAAAAACACCTGCGTGAGAACTTCAGTGAGGTTTCGGAAGAAGCATCTGTAGCACACATACACACCTTCAATAATGTTTGAGAATCTGCAAGGTTTTTTTTTGAATTTTCAGGCACACTTCAGACCAGCAAATTCGATTCCCGTAGGCGACACAAATTTTTGCACGGAGAAAAAATGACATTCTTGAACTACAAAAGATGTTTTCGACTAAGAAGCTTACTACCTACCTCTTCCACAGTTTTCCCGCGAAAAAAACCGCTTGAGCGCAGTCCAGAACGGCGTCAAAAACGTGCATGAGAACGGTTGTTTGAAAATTCGTAACTAAAGCCACGAAAAGATTGAGATGCTGCAAAGCACTTTTGTAGTATAGCGCTCAAACTATCCATAGAAAAAGTTTCAGCTCTTGAGGAGCAGTAAGCTCGAAAAAATTTGGATGCGACTCTCGCAAATTTAGATGCGATCCTAAAAAGCAAAAACTGGGATTTTTGAGCTCAAAATTTTGCAACTTACCGGAGAAGTTATAAAACAGCCTGCAATTTTTATGAGGGAAGGTAGGAGGATGGCCTCATATTATAGCAGAATTGCAGCCAACAAGCTTCAATAGCTCCGAAGAAATTTAGATGCGATCCAGATACGACCCCCCTTTCCTGATTTTTTGCTACCATACATAAAATTATAAGAAAATCCACAGTCGACAAAATAACACCAAATCCTGCACTGATGTAGCGGAGCATCTTCAAAGTACAGATAAATTATATGGGCCCGTGAAAAACATCACAAAAAGATTTAGAAATTTATGATGGTCACAGCTGGTAAAGATATTCGCTTTTGTCGAGTGTGTGAGACTTCAGGAGGGCTTCAGAAGCAAGATTTTTAGAGCAATCGGTACATTTAGCATTTTTATCAAATCATACATCCTTCAAAAGTGTTTTGAGCTTTTGTAAATGTTTTTTTGAGAATTCTACAGATTTTTTATCTTTTTTATTCTGATTTCCGCTTTTTAAAAAATTAATTATTGTAAATAACATAACTAATTATCTGCTTTGATTCCCTTTTAAGCTTAGGTTATTTTAGCCTAACTGCCTTCTCTTACGACCCCCCCCCACCTTAGGTCCCTATTTACGACCCCCCGTTGCGACAGTCGCATCACAAGCTTGACCCTGGTTGAAAGACAAATCGCTATGGAAAAGAGTAGTCTCTGCCAGTCACAAATGCTAAATTTCTGCCAAGGGCAGAAAGGAAAATGCGATAAAAAATAAAGTGTTTTATTCCATACGTTGAACTCATTCTTTTCAACTTTTCGCGCACATCCCACATTAATAGATTTCTAGGGCGAGTGTTTTTAGGAAGTTTTAATTGAAACATGTGCTCAAAGCACTGTGTATGCAGTATGTCTGTCACCTTGCAGAAGCTTCAGACGCAACAATTCATGAAGAATCTAGTTTACCTTTCAGATATAATTTTCTTTTCAATTATAAGTAGTCAAGAGCAGTGATTTTTGACAAGCCATTTGGATTGTTGTGTTTCTGTCTCGGCTTACCCACTCTCTCGCCATTAAAACCTACGACGCTCCTAACAAAGGAAGGGTGGTTGGTCAAAGTGGCCTTTTGAGATGGGTTTTATACATTATACCTTGTTGGAGGGCATAAAACGCTTATTCCAAATCTGTCTTCCTTATCTGCAACGCGTTCCTGCACGAGAAGTTATGAACGTTTATTGGAGAAAAAAATTGAATGTGCAAATATTATTAGGTCGTTTCAAAAGTAATTTCGCTTTTTCCAAACGGGCACCACATTTGATGGAACAAAGGTTTCTAAGAGATCTTAGAATCATTCGATGCAGAATTTCATTCTCTTTCTAATGGTTATGAAATTTTTGCAAAACAGTCAATGAGCTTTCAGAAAATAACCAAGACCTGCGACCCATGCCTTTTGAGATAGTCTAGTTTCACAATTATTTAAAACTTTCACATCAATCCTTAGAAGAAGTTCAAGTAACTGTTCGATAGAGCAAACCATATAGAATGCAAAACTACTTTTTTATCCCTTCCATAGCTTGTCATACATTTTTGACAGAATTTTAACTGATGCTACCAATTTTCATACTTGGGCAGCTAAATCCTCGTAGAACATCAAAGGAAGAGCAGCTCGTCCACTATTCGACGCAGCATCTTCTCCTCTTTCTAACAGGTGGTTTTTGTTTCCGATTCGTTTAGTTTTCGGGGATAAAATCATCACAATTCATTTTTTAAGGAGCCTCATGCTGTACCTGAAAATCACGAAATTTGATATTTCCAACCCGTAAACCTTCACTTGCTTTGTAAAGTTAGTGCTAAATCATAGTACAGTCCTGGTAGTCTCAAATTCCGAAAAAATATGATGTTTGCTGCGATTGTGGCTGAGGTGTCCCTGCCAAAATCCGATGGTTCTGTTAAAAAATCTTTCAAAAAATTAAGGCGAGCTATGAGAAAGATAAAAAAGTAGTACTGTATTTTCTGAGGTTTACTCTATCGAATCGTTACTTGAACTCCTTCCGAGGATTGATATGAAAGTTTTAAAAAATTGTGAAACTAGACTATCTCAAAAGGCATGGGTCGCAGATTTTGGTTATTTTCTGAAAGCTCATTGACTGTTTTGCAACAATTTCATAACCATTAGAAAGAAAATGAAATTCTGCATCGAATGCCTCTAAGATCTCTTAAAAACCTTCGTTTCATCAAATGTGGCGCCCGTTTAAAAAAAGCGAAATTACTTTTGAAACGACCTAATATAAAAAGTAGTAACATTTTTCCTAGCGCTCAAATGAACCAGATGTGATTTTTCCAACACTATGAAATAAATGTTCTTAAATGAGATATATCCGCACTCCGGCTGTCTTGTTCGCGCGTATGGAAAACTTTAGCAACCATTTTATCCAAGAAAAACATTCATTTTTAGCTCCTTTAAACGCCCATCCCTCGTCAGGAACGCTGCGCAGATAAGAGGGCAGACTTGGAATCAGCATTACGCCGTCCAACATGGTATACAAATCATCGCAAAAGGCCACTTCGACTGACCATCCCTCTCTTGTAAATTTCCAAGTCTCTCCCCTCCCCCCCCCCCCCCCCCTCTCCTCTTCCCCCTTCATAGCTGAGTAAGCATGAGGTGAGAGCCAGAAATCTCTGAACAATAACATTTATAAGCCGCTTGAAAAATTACTTAAAAATTATCAATGCAGTCAGAAGCATCAATAAGAAGAGCAGCGCAATACTGCATCGAAGTAAAACTTCAGAACACAAGTTGAAGAGAAACATAATTTTTGTCAAATAAAGTATGAGCTGAATGGTACTGTGCATTTCCATAATCACTGTCATCACGCATTCGCTTCAAAGGCAGCGTCCCCTCAAAATGTGATGAGTAACGGGATTTCACAGTGTTGCAATGGCAGACCCCAGCTAATCTATGAAGTTTGGAGCGAAAAAGCGCTTCTGAAAAGCCCAAAATCCGCTTCGGAAGCCTTCCGAATCCCGCCCGAGTCCAAGCTCCGCCCACCTTCCACGTGTAATCTGGAGTGAACGCGGACACGCAGAGCTTCGAAAAAAGCTCATTTCCGCCATTTACAAAGTCCTTTAAACTCTTGCTTTGAAACGAGAAAGACGGAAAAGGTCGAACTCTGCATGAACAAGCTTTTTTGTGGCTTGCGTTATTGGGTATGTCCCAGGACATGCGCGACTGAATGCGTCCACAAAGTTATCTCCTTAGATCAAAGCTGATCTTTTCCATTGTTTGTTACCAAATCTGTCCATCCTGCAGCGCTGCCCCACGCACTTGAGAAACTCATCACCAGACACTTGTTAGATGGGTAGAAATAGCTTACGAAACAATGCCGCTTAGGGCAGCGCACACCCAAAATCTAAGTTACTCAGTTCTCTATACAGTGTATATCTAGGGCCCAGAAGAGGAAGAACTGCGTTGGTCCGGCCTCCCAATGTTGCTTCTGAGCGGAGAAAACCCGCCTGATTTTCTTCTCGCTCCCCTTCATTTCAGTCCGCCTCCTCCGGACGAATTCACGACAGCGTAAGCTGCAAATCGGGGAATTTCGGGATTTTGGAGGATTTTATCTTATAACTGTAACAGGGGCACGCAAAGGCCCCAGAATGACAAAAACATCGAAGGCGAAATTTTGGATGTACGCTGCCTTTAATGTGAAGCAAGCTTGCGACAGTGATGAGCGAACGGATATCGAATCCGCGTATCTGCTGCAGCGTTTACATCTCGCGACGATCGATCTATCGTCCGGATTAGAGCTCGAAAACCATGTTATTTATTTCTTTAATGCTGTTACCCATTGCAGCCTTTCGTAGTTGTGAAAAACGCGAATAACTCTAACCGGTAGTAGTAATGCAAAGATTATCTGTGGCTCCACAAAACTGTTTTACGCATTCAGAACTTCTATCTACAATCTGTTGTAATAAAGACACAAAATGCCTCAATGTCAGTGCAGTTTGATCAAAAATAGCGTTTCTCATCTAACGAATGTTGCTGATAAATGGAAGATCTTGACAAAGAGGTTATACAAATGTCACTCTACTCTGAAGAATTTAAGGTGTGCGCTTTTATCAGGAAATATTATCAAGATCAAGCTTTGGCCGCCTCTCCGCACCAGACACATACGGACAGGGTATATGCTTTGAAGTGCATGAGCAGTGTAGACTTGCAGCATTTCTAGGATGAGTACGAAAAGTCTCTATTTGAACGCCTTGTGAGCGAAAGCCCACCCAAGGCTAAAACTGGAGGTGAAGATAAGGATAAGGATGCTAACGGAAAGGATGCTCCAGATAAGGTATCCACTTGATACACTCAAAAAATTAGAGTTTTTATTTGTTGTTTTGATATTCATGTGGACAAATTTCTCCGAGGTTTGAATCATGTTATTTACAGATTAGATTCAAGAAAACTAAGGGATTGTAAGTCGTTTCCACTATGATTGTTTTAGAAAATCCTTTTTTTGATGAGTTTTTTTTTCAGCTATCATAAAGCAGGTTCAAAAAGGAGATGAATTCTGTACAGTCATAATTGTTTCTTATAGCTGAAATTTCATCAAGTCTCGTAAAAATAGTCTTGCAATAAACATTGACTGCTTTGTGTTACTCAAAAGAACCACAAAAGTGCAAACTACATTGCTCTGCTTGCAGACGTCTTAATCTATCTACCAAACAGCATAGGCGAGACGTTTTTGGAGACCGCATCTCACCATATGGTTATTGAGATTTTCGCGTGTTAGAAGCCTTTGCGAGTCAAAAAGCGAATTCAGAATCAGATAAAATAAATAACCCTCTTCTTTTTCGCAATCTCCTCTTCCCCTAGACTGCTGGAAGCTATAGTCACAAGTTAACTCTAAATATTGGGCTGTAAACTAAGTTTTGCAACTGGTTTCATAACTTCACTCTCTCCCAACATGAGGCATCCAAATCTTGCCATTGCGTAGGTTATTACGGAAGCTACAAGTGCAGTTGCTGTTCTGCCAAATTCTGACGTCGCAGTGAGGGTTACGGGAGGTGTACGGTATGAAGGGGAAAAATTCAGTGTTTGACGGATTTGGCTGAAACTTGGCATAGGGGTGCTATACGACATGCTGATCACGAAAACGATAGTGAAACTGCCTGATAAGGGCTTTTTTTGCAGGTTATTGTAGGTTTACAATACAGAATCTCACCCTAAACGAGGAAAGAGGCGTTGATATGACAAATGAATATGATATTCGTGTTTAGCAGGCCAAATATTCTTATTATGTAAAGTCTCGGCGGAATTTGAGCTTCGGACTCTTTAGTCATTGGCAGTCTTCCCCAGCAGCTCCTGCGTACATCGACTCGTTCGACTTTGCGAGGACGCCAAATCTCGACATGCCCCTAAATTTTGTTTCTTTCATATTAGGCCAAAGGAGTCAACCTCCAGCAATAATTTGTACGAAAAAAAGCATAAATGTAGACGAATGCATTTATGCATTCGTCTACATTTATTTTTTTCGTCTCATTTATGCATTTTTTATGCATTCAATCCTTACGTCCTGTTTTACTACGTCAGCGTAGATCACTTGCATCTGCTCTGGGCTGCATGCTACTAATAGCTTCAAAACTTAGCGGCAACATTCAGATATGTCCAAATATGTCGCAGTGGAAAAGAATTTATTACCATTTATTAGAATTAGAACTGGGGTTAATCCGACACGTTGATTATGAATGCCTAGGCTGAGTGTCATTTTGCCAACACAAGTAGTCCTTTTCCTATACTTCAAGTGTTGCTTTACAATTCAAGCTAGATCAAAACCTTAGTCGGTGCTGCATGTTCAAATTTTCGATCTCATATTAAGCTCTGTTGCTGTGTATCATCCAGCTGAAGGCACTTATCCATTGCACATTCTTTAACCGATGGCACTATGTTGAAGATGTCAAGTAGATGCATGTTTTCGGCAGTAGTAATCGCATGTACCTAAAAATTATTCTCCGGATGTTTTCGTAACCGATCGAAAGCTACCTTGCTGTAGGTGTACACATCCATATACAAGGCACCAAGCTCCACTTCTGGATTTGTAAGCCCTGATTCTTCGTAGTGTTTGAGCAGTGATTTACTAATAGAACCTCGTGCTACAAGCATCTTCTTGCGAGCTTCGCAGGAAAGGCTGTCAACACCTAGAGTTCGGAATCAGTAAAAATCTTTCAGCAATAGGTAAGTACCTGAATCAAAGAGAGCGATCCCATACATAGCAATGAACTCAGTGAACGTAACTTCACTCTTCTTCATACGCATGCTGACGTTTGCTATAGCATTTTGCAGTGACGGAATAAAAAGGCTAAATTCTGGATAAGCAACTTTCATTTGTTGAAATAAGATTGTCGAAAAAAATACTTTTCTGCAGTTATTCGATTCAGTGTCAGCTCATTCATAGTGCCATTCTCAAAATATCTGCGCGTGTTTGACAGATCGATGTAAGTTCTGCAATGGAGCTATGCATTCTCAGCCTAATTAGTTAAAAGTCACCTGTTCAACATGACCCAGCAATTGCGATCCAACATTTTACATTCATAAGTTAGAAATGGTTCTTCTACTGCCTGTCGGGCTATGTTGAAGTTTTTGTACAATAGCAGCTGCAAATTTATGATAAATACCTCCTTTTCAGATGCACATCCACATTGCTCCAAACGCGAAAGGACCCAGACGCGTCGTTACGGATCTGTCCCGCAAAGCAGTCGCTTCTTCGCACGTACCGTATTTGAGGTGTGCATGTATGCATGAAAATTGCTAAAAGCAAATTTTACAACTCACCAAATCCTTGACGGAAAGTTGAGCATCTTTCACGAACTGCAGAGATCGCACAAAGTCGGCAGCAAGTCGCGGTTCAAGAAGTTTCACTTGATAGAGACATTCCGTGATTGATTGCATTTCTCGAAGTGCCTGCAAATGCACAATAGAAAAGAACAAGAACGTGGCTAGCCTTCAAATTCTATCCTGAAGCAGAGTTTTTTGGAACCCGAAATCAGTAATTTTTCACTCGACTTTCACTTTCACTTCTACAATTGGTTTATATCTAATGAGTTGGTGCAGTTCGTTGTGCATAATAAGAGTAAATGCACATCGAAACAACAATTTACATTGGCCGAAACTTGTGCGATTGCATCTCCATGTTCGAATCGAGCAATTGAACAGCTGCTTAAGCGATATGCTGCTGCTGTCATATTTATCTTAAGTAAACCCCACCCTACAATCTATTTTATTCTTGATGCGAGTTACGAGGATTGCAAGATTGTAAATGCCTATCTTTGTACTACCATTGCAATTTCACGGTATTGGAATGTTATCGGTGGTCATCGTCCATGTTATGAGAAGCGATTCTCATACCCTCGAAAATGTCAGGCCGGCCCTGATAGTGGATACATAACAAGTTACACAGGGAGAGCTTCAAGCCACTCGAAGGCGAATTACCAGCGAACAACTACTTGTCTCCAACCGGGCTTCTTACCCGCGCCGCCATGGTCAACGATTCCGCCTCGTGCTGTCTCCTTGCTCTTTGCTAATGAACTAATGTCAATAAATACTTCTATCATGTTTTGCTCATGTAACAATGTAATAATGATGGCCAAATCATTTTTGCTGCTCACGCTTTTCAGATTTATAATCTACACGCGCGCTCTGATCGCAGATGCATAGCACAGAGCCACTGAAAGTAAACCTATTAATGTCCCTCTGGACTATAATGGTCACAGCGAACAACCTCTGCCAACCACATGATTATGAAACTTTATTCAGAATGCTGCAAAATCTGAAGATGCACATGCACTTTATCTATGCAACTATTCGTTTGAATGTCGGTCGATTTTTAGGCAGTGTCCAGGCAAACTTGTGAGCAAGTTTCAAGGTGGAAATCGATGACGGGGTCCTAACTAAGGCACTGCCCAAGCGGCAGCGCAAACAATACATTCACGGCTGGGAAATCAATCCAAATCCTTCGCGTCTGCGCCCTAATCATAACCCGCAATTGACTTTGACCCGACTTACACTGCGGCCGTGCTGGGACCCATCCTTAGTCACTCGCTAGCGGTCACGGCGCTGGTGCGATTTGGAGGTGAATTCTCATTCGAAAATGTATTATTATCGCTGCCGCTTGGACAGTGCCTTACTTAGGACCCCCTCATCAGCTTCTACGCGAAGAAACCGACGCGCCCAAATTTGCCTGGACAATCTTCAGGAAGTTCGTGCAGCAAATAGATGTTGTTCTGAGGCCGGACTTGACCCCCCGCCTCAGCACCTCTATGATCTATTTCGCGCCAAAACTACGTATTTAGGCCGCGGACGAAAGAGCTACGTATAGCGATCAATGCACAATCACGGTTCGAATTTCGCCACTCTACCCTCACTTGGTATTCTCCCATTAGTCGTTCTGCTATGGTTTTGTATTCATTCGCCTTGTATTGTCTCATGCTTGCCTTGTAAGTGTGCTAACAAAAAGGTACTCATGCCTCGGAAGCTTTACGTATCTCGTTGAAAGATTCTCAGTATATTCACTTAATGTTTAAATATTGTTAGAATTTTGCTTCGTATTTGTTTTGTTGTTCGTTATTTGTCAATAAAGGGTTTAATCACCCAAGTTTGAGGTGTTGGTACGCCGGCGGCTTCTCTCCGCATCTACCTCGATTCTGTTCTGGTATTCCTTGGTGCATATTATTCGTTCAGTGACCACGTAGTGGCAATTTATCAATCTCGACTGCTGAAGAAGTGTCTACAGCGACCCGCGTGGCTTTCGAAACTCCCATTGGTACGAAGATTCAGTCCGATCTCAACGAAGCGAAGCCAGAAGGGGCCAAGGTGAAAGGTGGGATTTTGACTGAACCTTTCGCTTCACTTTACATTCTTTCCTTCGAGTTTCGTTTGTGGTCATTTTGAGTTCGTGGTCCCTCCCTTTTTTTTCTCTCGATATCCCGGAATCCAACTCAGATGTCGTTCCCAATTTTTTTTTTCAAGTAAGAAAGCTTACAGGCTCTTTCCTATGAAAAATCTTGTCGATATTGTCTTCCATAGAATATAGCAGCTGACGGCGATAATTCAGAGCGTTGTACTTATCCATCAAATCATCGAGTAGATTATCGCTACGACCAGGACAGGAGTTGCTGCTCTGTAGCATTCTTGCCATCCTTGAATAGTGACCAATAGAGTCACGATTGCATTGAACACCTCAAAAGCGGCTGTGTTAGATCGCAATATAAATGGATTTTTTCCAGTGACTCACTGCTGATCTCCATCCCAACAGAGAGGCACTTATCGAAGCGACACTTCTTGCAAGTACTCGTACCTAAATGATGCAAAAATTCATTAGGCTTTTTGGGTATTAATGTGACATACCCTTTGAAACAGAGCAGTTTGAAGGCGAATTGCCAACACACTCAAATCTTCGGTTCATAGTTACAGTACGCCGAAAGAAAGCCGAGCATGCGGCACAAGAGTCTGCTCCAAAGTGTATTCCCGTCGCTGAATCGCCGCATATCGCACACGGAGGATTCTGAGCAAATTATATACGTTTGAGCTTATATGGGTATTTTTGAGAGCTTGGATAAGTTATAAGTGACTTCTGAAGTGGGAGCTTACTTTTAGGTTGGCATATACCGAAGTTTCTTTTGTTTTACGCTCAACGCTCAAGCTACTGCAAGGTCGCTCTCTACGGATCACATTATTGCTTGCAAATCTTCAAAATCTGGAGGATCAGTGATTTTTTCACGAGTTTCCGGAACATAAGCGCTCTATTGAACTGCTAAATTGATAGTGACCATGCTTAATTAAAAAGCGGAAATAAGTCACACTCTATTGTTTTCACCTTGCTCATCGTGATAAGGAAGTTTTTGAGAACTGAAGGGCATTTGTTTTTTGCCCTTTTATGACATTCTCTTCTTAAAATTTCAATGACGCTTTCTTACACAAGCAAATAGTTACTGGTAATTTTTTATAGCTGTTCAATGATTGACCGCTTCAAAATCGCTTCACAAAATGCTGTTTTTTTTTCTTTTTTTGCCCCACCGTTGGTGTATTATATTAGGTCGTTCCGAAAGTTCCTGCGCACTATTTTCAAAAATTCATAACTCTTTAAATCCTTAACGAATCTGTATGATCAAGATTTTGCTTAAGAGAGGAACTCATGCTCTTTGCACCTGTATCTGAACGGTTCGTTAATGTGCACAAATGAAGGAGATAGAAGCTAAAAACCGAAATCACTCAAAATTTGAATTTTTCGTATAAGGTCATAAAAAATCGGAGACTTGCAACAAAAATCCGAGCAGTTGGTGTCATAGGTTCTATTACCTGCTCTTTCTGACAGTGCAAAGTTTGCGCCGATTGAGCTTCTCTACGAAAAGTTATGATTTCCCTGAAAAATGCTAAAATAAATCAAATTCGCCCTTTTGTATTGATTGCTCGAAAATCGTAACTTTTCATAGAGACGCTCAATCGGCGCAAACTTTGCACTGTTAAAAAGAGCTGGTGAAAGAACCTACAATGCCGACTGCTCCGATTTTTGTTGCAAGTTTCCGATTTTTTATGACCCTACAAAATTCAAAATGTGAGTGATTTTGGTTTTGAGATTCTATCTTCTTCATTTGTACACATTAACGAACAGTTCAGGTACAGATGCAAAGAGCATGAGTTCCTCTCTTAATAAAATTTTGATCGTGCAAATTCGTTGAGATTAAGAGTCATGAATTTTTGAAAATCATGCGCAAGAAGTTTCGGATCAACCTAATATATAAATAAATAAATAATCTCCTGACTAGGATACTCATGAAAAAATCCTCTATTTCGGCGAAATGGAAAGTTTTTCAACACTCGATTTGTTCCAAAGTTCAGAAAAAGTCGTTGGATGATGTCGCCAATTTATCGCTTTATTTGCGCTTGACGTCATGATAGTAGGCAGTGAGTCATTTAGGAAAAAGATATTGGTTTGCAATTCAATTCAACTCACCCTCTTTTCTATATTATTTGCTTCAGTAAAATTGCTTGTTGATGGCATGTCACTGGCTTCGCCAAGCAAGACCACCTTTGGCTTCTTGAAAACACCGTGAGTGCCTTCGTTAGCTCTCTTGGATAATCTTCGAGATTCCGTGGCATCTCTAATCTTTATGTTACACTCCACTTCCTCCACCTCTGACTTGTCAGGTGTTTCCTGCGAACTAGGCATAGTCCTATGCATAGTTAGCAGTACGTTGCTGGTCGTAGGTGCTGACCTTAGAACGGTGTCGCGTTGAAAGGGTTCATCCTCTGTGAATCTTGTGGCTTGGCAGTGATGAGAAGTGTTTGGAATAAAATAGCTATCAGCTGATGAAACTTGAATTAGCGATAGTGGCAATGTGAGCGACAGAGCGTATTGTGGAATGTACGACGGATCATTGAGCGTCGAAGACTGATTTGATACCTCGTCAGCTTTGTTTGATGATTTACTGTTAATTCCAGTACTATCAAAGTGGGACATACTGAAAATAGACAGTGAAGGATCTGATGTAAGAGTAATAGATCAAAAGAGTTCATTTAGAAGTGGATCAGATCGAATCAAAATGCTATGAAGGTAACTCTTCCATTTTTGTTTTGTAACTGTTAAATGCACGGCTTTTTTTTTTTAAATTCTCAAAATAATGTGCACTCTACTTATGAACTTTGAAACTCAAAAAATATACAGCATTCTCAAGTCGAAGGTCCAATTATCTAGCAAGATCCAAAGCATGTTGTTTTGTACTTGAGCTGATTATATTCAGGCAAAGAAACTTGTGAGCACCAAAAAGAAGAGAAAAGGTTTGGTTAAGACTGTGATAATTCTTATCAGCGCGAGCGGAAGTCATGCTCCCTACAGAGGCTGTAATACACTTTGTGCTTGATTGTGTATTCGCTGCAAAATTATTAAATGTCAAGAACGTGTGGACGAAAAGGAAAGATTGCGATGTACTCTTTTGCATCGAACCACTGTTGATATCTTACAAGGGAAGGATACTTGGTCGAAGTGGCGTTTCCATATGAATGTATACTATCATGTAGAGCGTGGAACGCTTATTCCAAAGCTGCTTCCCTTATTTGCAAAGCGCTTCTGCGAAGAAAGTTATGGAAATTTTTTGAGGTAAAATTTTAATGATTTGGCTAAGGTAAAAACAGCTGTTGAGGTCTTTTCGGCACTTGAAAGAAGTAATGACTTGCATGAGTTTGTTAGATTGAAGTATTTAGCGCACAAAACGTCCTGGTAATAATCATGGCCTCATCTGAGCTCACGGCCCAAAGTTCTGAACGATTTTATTGTAGCGGCGTTCTCAAATCTTTGCATCGAAAAATTCCCATATCTCCAGTTCTAGAACCGCTTATAAGGAATGCAGATTCGGAATCGGCGTTTCATGCTCTATGAAACAGTTCACATTTCATACAAAAAAGCCACTTCGACCAAGTATCCTTCCCTTGTTAGAGCACTACTATAATATAGCAATAACAACAACTGATCGATATGAAAATACTCTTGCTTGTATTGAACTATAATGTTAGGGAATGAGAAGCTGGATAAGAAAATCTTATTTGAGAAAATTGATGACATCCTCTCAGAGCGCATGTCAACAAGGATCCTCTACATCGTCTCTTGCAGCTGATAATTTTTGTATAACACAGACCTCGCAATGATCAAAATAACCTTTATGCAATATTGTTATGGTTGGGTTTCCAGAAATTCCTTACAATTTTTAGGATTCAAAGCGATCGCTGGGATTTTGTGGTGCTAATTGCTACAGACATTTTTCCTCAGGCCAAAATCATTTGATCAGCAAACTGATGTGAATTTTGATGCCCTCGGGAATGGCTTCGTTTGAACATGAATGATGACCTACACTACCACTACAGAAACCACAACGTTAGGTATTCCAAAGAACATAATAAGAATCAGAATTGTTTGTTTCTATGACTTTATGGCAGAACATCTGTCTCGTAAAAAAAGATTGTTGATCGATCGTATCGAGGGCAACTTTATCTTTACCATCATCTTTTATTATCATTTGAGTCAATATTGCCTCCAATATTGCTTTCTGTAAGAGGCACAGCTCAGCTGGTGGACTGATAAGTGTCTCTCATACGCCAGTCCATGGACCGAGGTAAATATCTTTTGCAAAAAGATTAAAAGATTTATCCTGCCCAAGACATAGGCATTGAAACACTTCTAGTACAGAAAGCTGGTGGAGATCCTAATCGCGAGTCCTGAGCTAAACGTAGTGTCAAGAAGAGTTTCAAATTTGCTCATAGATTTTGGGTTGGGTTCCATTTCTCTTGTTTCAATTTCATCAATACACAAAATTTGATATAATACATATCAACATAGGCGTTTCGTGACATTGCTTTACCTGTAACATTCTGCAAGAATGCTCAAGTGTTGATGTTCTCTGTAACTTTTGCCGTTCGGTACTACATATTGATGCTTGGTCTATTCTGAATCTCAACAAGTCGTATACGCTAAGCTGAACTTAACACATTGACGACAGCGTGACCCACATGGTGGGTCACGCAATGACTGCCACGTGGGACAATGTGACCCACATGGTGGGTCATGGCTTAAAATTTGTCAAAATGAGTACAATCTTAAGGTAAATTCGTTTTAGAGGTTCCCTTACGCTCTGATTCTACCGGTTACTACCGCATTTCTTTTCTGCTCCTTAAAATTACCGAAGATTTACTGTAGACGACGATCTGCTTAATTTTAGCTGAAAATCTTCAACTTTGTCGTGGAAGGCATTGTCCCACAAGACAGACAGCTGAAAATGCGCGTTGTCGTCAACGTGTTAACATATTCTTGTCAAGTATTTTACAGTAAAAAAAAAACCACACATATCGTCTCAGTGTAAGTAGAGTATCAATTTTGACAAGAAGAAGCATAATGAGATGTTGACCAAAGTGCTTGCACATAACTACATTGAATTCTTGTACATTACCTGTCATCCTCTAGAGCAGTTTTGACGTCTAAGTAAATTTAGAATAATTGTTTATTTAACGAGCTGATGCCATGAATTCACCCAGTCACCAAAATGTGACAAATATGGTCACATGGACACCTCTAACGTCAATACAAGTTTCCCTTCTGACTTCATTAGGTACAAAATGCAACCTGTTGTATTACAAAATAGTTGATAATCCAATAACCTGACACAAGACTATTCTTCAAGAAAAAATATGAGATTTTCAGCTCCATTGCGGCTTCTACCAGCGGATGAGACAAAGCGGTAGAGGAAGATTACTGCTGCTTCACTTTCTTCTAGCCAGTAGCCACATATTCGAAATAATTTTCTATTCTACTCGTTTCAGTTAAGAATTCTTGTGCTGATCATGTATCCATTTATGATTTTTGAGAAAAATGACAAAAGTGATTTGCTGTTTTACGGTTCGATATATTGAAAGATATTGGAAGTATAGGCCAAAAAAGTGTATGATCACACTTAATGCGATTTTTGCTGGTGACTAAAGATGTAGCGATAGTAAAGTAATACTCCACATCCATTTCAACTTCTGATATTTGTCAAATCGCCAATATGTAGGTTTTACAAGCAGCAGAGATCAGCCTAACCACAGTAACACAATAATAGAGTATTTCATCACTAGGAAAATAATGGTGAAGGAAGATCTCAAAAATAGGTGGTGGTCATAATCTGCTGCATCACTCTCAAAATTTGCTTTATAATTCTGACTAGCTTTTCGAGGGTATTTTTTATTGCGCTCATGTCAATCAAAGGTGGTGTTTTGTGATCCCAGTTGCCTCAAAAAATCTCCCAGCTTCATAAGCGCTTTCTCAACCACTGTATGATGCTTCATTCTATATCACGAAAATGCCTGTAGACCACATGGTGAACTCGCGATGTACATATTAGGAAAGGTCTGCACACATAAATTTATGAAACCAGTTGTTTGCGCTGCCATAATTTTCCGTCATTGCTCGCATTATTCCACATGACCCGAAGCGCAACCGCATGATGTTTCTCGAAAACAAGTAGTTATTTATGTCACGGTCAAGATGCGCACAAATATTGTTGCTCACGAGACCGAAAGTATTGATCTGAACAATTTTTTTAGCCTTGATTTTTTATCTCACTCCTTTTCATAAGAATGTGCTTGTACGGAAACAAATGTAAACTATAACTCTTTATGTAAGCGTGGTTATGTAACCAGCTAATGGTTGCTTCATGCATTTCTGCTGAGATAGAAGACTGAACGTGGAGGACAAGGACAATATTGGGCGTCTTGGCCGGGCATACCAGCATTTCCTTTCGGACCCGGTGCACCTGGTGGACCCTCCATTCCAGGTTTGCCGGGAGCTCCAGCAGGTCCTGGAGGTCCGTCAAGACCGGGCAGACCAGGCGCACCCGGTATACCTTCGATTCCAGCTGGTCCAACTGGTCCAGGTGGTCCCCGTGAGCCTTTGACAATGTTAGCGTCCATTCCGGGTGGGCCGTCAGGTCCGTTAGGGCCAGGCAATCCTGGAGCACCCGCATCTCCTTCTGGACCTGGAGGTCCCATTGGCCCAAAGGGAACAGGGAATCCGGGTGTGCCTGGGATTCCTGGAGGTCCTTGCAATCCAGGTGGTCCATCGGGTCCCTTTTCGCCGGGCTCTCCGCGCGGACATTTGATACAGCCCATTGGTGGAGCACACTCGCCGCTGGGGCCGATAGCGTAGCCGCCGCCAATGAAGTCCAATCCGGGTGGGCCAGGAGGTCCGGGCACTGAGGAAGAAGCTCACATAATGGCAGAATTCATCACTCTTGGGAATGTAAAGTTCACAAAAACTTACTTCCCGGCTCTCCAGGTGGTCCTGGTGGCCCCGGTGGGCCTGGTGGGCAGGATGGCACCAGATCACAATGGCACCATTCTGGTAGACCAGCAAATGAGACGGACCTTTTCACCCTACTGACCAGAGGATTTTCCCGAGGTTTCGAGGGTGGTGAGTTTGTAACTTGAACAGTCATTAACTCAATCCATGACGAATCCGTCTCGACCTGTGACAAATTAATCTCCATATGGACAAAAGGGATTGTTTTACTGTTAGACCTACCTTGAAACTCTCGACCGCCTCGAAGACCTCTTCTTTGAGGTCAATCATTTCCCAATAAAGCCGTGGGAGGAAGAGAAGGGACCCGATAAGGGAAATGACCCCTGCTGCGAGAGAGACCGTGATGATAAAGGACGGTTCTTGCATCTGGAAGAAGTAGCATTTTCAATGGAGCTGAGCTGCTATGGATAGGGTGAAGCTTGAGTAATAGACGATTTTGAGGACTTTTACAGTTTGAGGTACGAGAAGGTTCTGCCGAAGAAAGACAAGGGGGAGTTGGATATGTCTTAATGTACAAGTCAGAAAATTCAAAATTTCAGGGAAGGACTATACATGGCAATGTTTCTGCAACCAAATTAGGATTTGTAAAGAGAATTGAGTTTAGAACCCAAATTCCACCGACACATAACTGCCGTCGAGGAAATGGCGCACAGTAGGCGCCGACCACCGCCCTTATAAGCCCCGGCTACACCGCCCCTACGAGTCTCATTTTCCTCGCACATAAAAACATCAACGCAATCCGAAGCGAACAAAATCGCCAATTGCTTTCAAAGGCGTCGACCATCACGGCTACAACGATGAGCACTTTTTGCACGGCGATTCCGAACACATTTCTCTTCGTGATTGAGATTGTAGTCGAGAGCTGGTCCGGTCCCGCTGTCAAGCCGGCTCGGCTATGATAATAGAGCCGTAATAATTTGTTTTAGTGTCTTGTTGTGGTGGTTTTATTCTGACAGTAATCAAGACATAATAGATAGAACTGCGAGCTGTAATAATGTTCTAGTGTCTTATCGTGGTGAGTTTTAGTCTGACAGTAACCAAGATATAATAAAACTGCGAAAAGGATGTGAAGAAATGCTTGAAAAAGATAGGCATTGCTATAGCGATACAAATCTCCTCGGCTGCTTCCTACTTCTCACAATGAAAGTGGTTACGCAAAGAGGGAAAGGACGAAATCCTTGAGAATTTCATAATAGCTTGTAAGTGAGCTCTTTCATCTTGAGTGTGTGTATCTCGAATCTGAAACTATCTAGCTTGCCATGTAAGAAAATAGTTATGCGAATCAAAAACTTTTTTTAAACATCCGCTTCATAAAAGCCTCGAATGACAAGTTCAAAATAGAAAACTAAACTTTAGTCATTCTCTCAACATTCTCACTGGGACAAATGTGCATTCTAACCCCTTCACTGCGATAAGAAAAGTGAAAAAATGCGAACCTTTTCGTACTTTTCCAGCTTTGGGTTATTACTCATGAAAGCTCTACATCTAGTTTTTGGCCCAAAATGTTCAATCGTTTAGGTTTTATAAAGAAAAAAAGTAAGTTTCTGCGCAGTAAAGGAAATTCTGACTCTGCTTCAAAGCTGTGGCCCCGAGAACGGGTCGCGAAATTTTTGAAAGTTATATGAGTTATAAAAATGTGCAAGCGTCTTGTTTATACTTATCAATATCTAACATATTTTTTAAAAATTTTCAAAAATTCAATAGCCTTATACGCCACGTCCGCTTTTTCTGAAATTTCGGGGTTGAGCCATCAAAAATTTCAGGAAGCATACCCAAAAATTTTTCGAGTGCTAAAAAATTCACCCTCCCCCCGGACGGAAATTTTGGATGCGCCACTGCTTCAAGGAGTTTTGAACTTTTCAAAGTGCTTATAGAATTTTCAAGTTGGGTGAGGCTACATCCCCTTCACCCCTCCCCCCTCCCCAACACAAATTTTTTTTGAAATTAATGATGTTTTGACAACGAAGAAGACCATGTAATGTGTGAGTGTGCACCACATTGGGGATGACTAATTTTATATAACTGCCAGAATGTTCGGTGTTTGACTTTTATTCTATCTGTTATATATTTGTTGTTCACCTCGTTGTAAAAAAAAGCTGCTCGTTTCACTTGCTTAAATGCTGTACATATTTAATATATTAATTTTGTTATAGCGCATCACCTCCATTATGTCGCTGTCTCTAAATGTCACAAAAATTTGATTGTATAATAAGAATTTCAAAGTCTTCATCAATAGCACGCTGTTTCAATTGTATGAAGGTGCAGATTTAGAGTAATACAAATCTATTGGTATCTGCACATTTACCGAAACCAGAATTTGGTCTTCCAGGCTATTTATCCGATTATCCATGCATCATTTCACATTTGCAAAGATAGGCTTTGGTCTGCTCTAGAGCGCCAATGCTATCATTACAAATTGCCACCTGCATTTGACAAAAATTTGTCTCAAACATGATCCATTAACTTCTTGTTTCTCTCAAATGAATTCTATCTGCAATTGGCATAATTCAAAGTGGACAACAGGAATTTGTGGATGGATAATTACGATCAACACCAATACCGCGGAAGAGCCTGTTTCAACATTAATAATTTTTTACGCTTATTCAGCTAAAAAGCAAAAGCGTTGAAAATGAGAAAATAGCGAAGCGAAGTGATTTGCACTTTCTCAAATTCACTTGGATGTACCAGCCGTTTCGATTGCTAGGATCACAGAAATACATTCAAGGAAAATACAGCTCGTACCAATTATCCGAAATTTGCAATCAAAAGCGATTTGACTACAATGTGTCGCATTTTCAATGGTAAGATTATTTTTATTCACAGAAAGCATCTCAGCTTTTTTTTCAGCAGTCAGGAAAGTTAAGATTTGAATATGCAAACATCTTTTACGTCATTTTTTTGGATTCTTCTGTTATTCTTTTGACTTCATAACTTGTAGCTTAGCGCTGCCCTATTATAAATTTTTTTACGGAAATTATAAGCTAGAAGAACACGCTATCACAGCTGAACATCTCATATATGTGTCCTTACATTGTTTTATCAAATGGCTACCGTTCGGTCGTCTCATCATAGCAACGAGATTTTCTTACAATACGCTTGATGCACGGCCACTTTTTTATTTGCTACGAGCACTACGAACAATAATATAGAGTAAACTTGTTCCTTTACGTACTGGAAAAATCGCATAGCTTGTCGCTGTTTACTGCAGAATGGAAAGATATTTCGTGATAAAGCACAATCGTTTAAGAGACGGTCCTGGCATAAAAGACTTTAGAATTTGGAAATTCGGAAATTTTTTAATTTTCCATTCTAGTTTTGAATGCAACTCTGACACTTGGGTGTTTATAGCCTCTTATTCACGTGTCGTTTAGTTTTGAAGTTGACGGACGAAGTCTGGGACACCTAATACAACGATGGGGTCCATTATTTAGCATATCTACAATCAGATCGTTCATTTGATTTCTGCGATATGATGGTGTGTTCAAGAGAAGTCATAATTATTATATTATTATTTTTTTATTCACATATATTTAGTGCTGAATTTGCAGCCATTTAGAAGTCACAACAAGCTGAACAATTACATCTACCAAGTTAGTCCGAATAGTTAGACCCAAACTATATGATGATTTATTTGTGGTTAGTTTATGAATAACTGTGTGTTTTTCGTTCGTTTGCAAGGAACGCCAATGAGCGTTTTGAATAAAATAGATAAAATCAAATAACATGTGTCAAAAGAATGCCTGGAGAGAATGAAGGCACCTCTTACGATGGACTTTCATTTTTTAAGCTGGTATCTCGCGGTAGGGTTACGGTAAGTACTCTAAAGAATTTCAATTTCACTGGATTAAATGAGTTTCTCGGGAAAGTTTATTATTCACTTAAATAATATGCGCTTTCACTATGATAGGCACTTTATAAGAGCGAGATTAGGTGCTCGAAAGCTTGCAAAACTCTGATATGATTTTGGTATTTCGGTATTTTGTTTTGCTCTTCTCAAGCAAAAACTTAGAAAAATTGGATAAATTTTGTCCCATACTTAGATAACTGCTAAAAGATTAGCTGCAATATTTTCTTTGCTCCAATGCTAGCCAACGATTGTCCCCGTTATCTGCTCCAAGTAGGGGCTTGCCTCACATGTGCATAAGAATGTAAGAACTGGATATAATACGATTTCCAGGCATCAAACCTGCAATCCTTGAGGGTAAAAAAATAAAAACCGACTAGTCCCACTGAATCTTGCTGCTTCCCCAGAACAGATAGAATAAAAGCAATTTTAGCTTCTCAGCGTGAAATTACGCAATCGCGAAACCGCTATGTGTCACTTAGCCGGAATGTCTGCCAATTCTGCCAACTGTCTGCTATGCACATGCAATCGTCCTCCAAGTGCAAACCAATTTTTCTATTGACAAGCTATAGTTCTACGCTAAGGTGTTTGTACCAAAGTGCAAGGACCTATAAAAGTACGGTCTTAGCTTAATTTCTCTTTGTAATATTTGCGCAATGATCTCCCAATAGGGCCAGGCATACTTCACGCGATTTCAGCCGCGAAGCGATTTGGCAATATTTCAACTGTCCCTAACTCACTGTAAGCGCATTTTAAATGTACAGAAGATAGGGCATTTTATCAATCCGCAAGTTATACACACTATGAATATGCAGTTTGCTAGTGCTGGATTCGAAGACTTCTGGCGAATTGCCAAATCGCGTCGCGACTGAAATCGCGTGAAGTATGCCCGGCCCTAATGGGAGCACGTAGAGGCTCATATATTAATTTTGTAGGCTAGAGTTCTCAAACAGGTGTGTGAAACATTATGGATCTTGTTGGAAACCTCTAACAACTAATTTACAGTTGTTGATTTGTAAAGATGGTCCACTATGTGTAGGACCTTTGAAAAATCGTGACGATGGCGCGACAGCGCGCGACACGCCCGCACTTCCGCAAACCGCTTTTTTGGTTATCATCCTTACTCAAATGGTTTTTCTGCTCAACTCTGAGACAAGGGAAGTGAATGAGCTGAGTAATGAGGTAATTCCTTTTTTATGAGTGTTTTATGTTCCTATGGGCGCAAAGACCGCAATCAAATCCGTCGTCACGATTTCATAATATAAATGACGTGCATATCAATTTGCTGATGCTTCTGCAAATTTAGCTGCGAATGTTTCGCTTACCCCTCTCTCTTCCCAAAGTTCTGGTAGTTTACTTCTGACACGATTTATTCACTCGTATTATTATATATCGTAGTGCGAGGAAGAACGGGAGGAGGAAGGTATCAATCATAGGCAGCTTTGTCGCATCATATAATTAACCAAGTCTTTTCGGCATAGCCAGACTTTGCAAAAACTTGCGTGGAAGAGACAAGCTGGAT